GTATTAGTTCATGACTACTTTCTATCTTTAATAACATTTCAAAACTTTAACTGGATGATAGCTACAGGTCAAGAGTTTAAGCTAACAGAATCGGTCTTATGAAATTATTTGAATACTATATAAATGTTCTTAAGTAATGTGTATTAGTTCATGACTACTTTCTATCTTTAATAACATTTCAAAACTTTAACTGGATGATAGCTACAGGTCAAGAGTTTAAGCTAACAGAATCGGTCTTATGAAATTATTTGAATACTATATAAATGTTCTTAAGTAATGTGTATTAGTTCATGACTACTTTCTATCTTTAATAACATTTCAAAACTTTAACTGGATGATAGCTACAGGTCAAGAGTTTAAGCTAACAGAATCGGTCTTATGAAATTATTTGAATACTAAATGAATGTTCTTAAGTAATGTGTATTAGTTCATGGCTACTTTCTATCTTTAATAACATTTCAAAACTTTAACTGGATGATAGCTACAGGTCATATAGTATTCAAATAATTTCATAAGACCGATTCTGTTAGCTTAAACTCTTTCACACTCCTGTCTTATCTCAGGCACTGGCACAGTGTTGGTTGTGAAGAACACGACTATATTGTACAAATTTTACACTTAGCACACTAATATAAGCCATTAAAACTACTGAATAAATGCTTAATATTTATACATTTTCTCCTATTAAATATATAGGCTTTGGGGGTGACATCTGTGGGTCACTGATAGAACCAAATGTTTTTACACTTAGTACACTAATATAAGCCATTAAAACTACTGAATAAATGCTTAATATTTATACATTTTCTCCTATTAAATATGTAGGCTTTGAGGGTGACATCTGTGGGTCACTGATAGAACCAAATGTTTTTACACTTAGTACACTAATATAAGCCATTAAAACTACTGAATAAATGCTTAATATTTATACATTTTCTCCTATTAAATATGTAGGCTTTGGGGGTGACATCTGTGGGTCACTGATAGAACCAAATGTCAGCTAAGATTTCAAACGGTGTTGGAAAAAACTAAAACATCGTATGATTTGCAGAGAAAATAACTGGAAAACATCGTATGATACCTGGAGTAGGGGAAAGGGTTAAGTATAGCTTGTTGTTTTGGTTAGTGGTGTAGCTAAGCCGTTTATCTATACACATCTTTTATTTCATGTTCTATATCCACTAGGTTACGGTGTATTATAACACACTAGGAATTTTTTTATGTTCAGACAGTTGTTTAAACCTGAGACCAGAGAACTCAGAGAAAGAGGAGAACACTGTACTTCAGGAATAGATATTTATGTAACCAGTGAACGTATGATTTTGTTGGATACGCAGGTTAGTTCACGATTTAATTGAAAACTCAAGTTAGTAATAATAATAATAAAAAATATATTAACAAGATAATTTGTGTGTAACTGGTGAAAGGTTCTATTAGTTAAATATATAGGTTAACCATGAACTAATATTTACAAAACTAGGACAGTTAACTTCAGAAAGTACCACATTGGCTCGATTATAAGGCGATGTTTTTTGATTAATAATCATATTACCCTCCCTCTACTCTAGCCTGTTATATTCCTGAATGTCAAGATAACATCTGTATATGCGTGCACGCCATATGTTCATTCAGGGTTTTCACTAATTCTTGCAACTAATCTACCAGCAGGCTGTTCAGTTATAGTATTGTTCATGTGGACCTAAAAAAAGGACATTATGAAACTCAATTTTTTTTCTTTCCCCTGGTTTCTGAACATGAGGGTCGCCGTATATTTAAGATCGCCCTATAATTGGGCCAATACAAAAATTTATATGTAACCAATGGAGGGTTCTGTTAATTAAATATATAGGTTAGTTAACTTGTTAACCATGAACATTTAACTTCAAAAAGTAATATATATATATATATGTGTAACCAGTAAAAGGTTCTGTTAGTGTATAGGTTAATTAACTTGTTAACCATTACCACACCTGGAAAACAAACGAGTCTCGCTCACCCTCCTATCTCATGGTCAGCGAGGGTGGCCCCAGACCCGACCGACTCCCCGCTCACTCTGCACACCATCACGCCTACACAAAAGCCACCATTCTATGACTTTTTGGTGTTTATTCTTTACCGTTGTATGCTATACTATGATTTCATAAGGTAAAAAATCTTTGATTTGATTTGGTTTGTTCGTGTGGTGGGGGACTTTCCACATCACCTGAGCAGTGAAAGGGTTAAATTCTGTGTAGTTAAAGTACATATGTATAACACTTACCAGTTAAAGTACATATGTATTAAGTGTTATACATATGTACTTTAACTAGTGTTATACATATGTACTTTAACTGGTAAGTGTTATACATATGTACTTTAACTAGTGTTATACATATGTACTTTAACTGGTAAGTGTTATACATATGTACTTTAACTGGTAAGTGTTACTTTAACTGGTAAGTGTATACATATGTACTTTAACTGGTAAGTGTTATACATATGTACTTTAACTAGTAAGTGTTATACATATGTACTTTAACTAGTGTTATACATATGTACTTTAACTGGAACCCATGTATAGCACTTACTAGTTAAAGTACATATGTATAACACTT